GAGAGAGAGAGAGAGAGAGAGAGAGAGAGAGAGAGAGAGAGAGAGAGAGAGAGAGAAACTGTAAAGTGTAGCTTCACAGTCTGCTTTACAAAATGAGTTGCTCTTTCTTCCTTCTCTGTTCATGACTGATAACTTGCTATCAAGGCATGTAATAATATCAGCACCTTTGTTCTGGCACCAGTTTTGTTCTGAAGTTTTGCTTCCCACTCTGTGAAGTCTGACATAACAGCATCTTTTCCCCATTTGGGCAGAGACATCACCACACATGTCGGATCATAGATGGTTTGTGCTGGGTCAAATGAGGCCTGGCTTTTTGACTTTCTTTTCCATTTGCACAGTTCTAGGGAACAAAAACAAATCCATATCTAGCCATAGTCTCCTGGATAGTTATTTATCTGTATGGGAGCAGCGCTGCAGCACCATTCCCACAGGTTTCATTGTGTTTCCTGCAAGAATACGTTTTGGTGGATTGTGGCACTTATTTTTCTGCTGCCTGCTTTTTTGCCTGGCAGTTAGTTAAATGCAGCCAGATTTTAAATATAGACCTCCAAGCAAGGAGAATATATGGTTATATGTAGGGATGTATGAGGAATCTGATGGGGGGGGGGTAAAATAATGAAATGGATTTTCATTATCCTCCCCACCCCAGTTTCTGGTTTGTTAGCCTTGCACTAGTGCCAACACACTGTGGCACGAGTCAACCCAGTTCTCAGTCCCTCATATCTAAGACAGGCTGCAACTGGGTCATTTTTCTTTAACTAAAAATGAAATTTGTGCAAAGAAACACCCAAAAGTCACATGGCTGTAGCAATTTGTACAGAATTGGGCAATTTGTGCAATTTGGCTGATTTTGCACAAGTTGCACTAGAACCTTGTGGTTTTTTAGTGTTGCCTTGTGTACATTTCACTGATGGTTTTAAAAAGGCACAAATCATGTTCTGTCTTACAGAGGGAGGTTCAGACAACCCACCACAATTCAGCTCATTCTAGTCATTAGACTGGACATGGGCAAGAAATCTATCATGCTCAAACAACCCTGGTTCAGTACCTCACTTTACACTACTCAGTGCTGAGGCAGATGTTCAATGGGAATCTCACTTGGTGGGTGACACTTCTGAAAGGACACTTTGCAGCTATGGTGTTGCATGACAAATCAGGTCCAGAGTACCCACTTTGTCTGAAAAACTTTCTAGGTTCAGTTCCTGGCATTCTCCAGTAAAAAGGATCTGGGAAATAACTTCTGGAACAGGGGTGTGGAAATTTAGACCTTAGGTTAAAATCTAGCTCTTCTGGGGCCAGCTCTGCCCCTCCTGGAAGCTCAGTCTGGCTCTCCAAGGTTCCCTAGGAGAAATCACTACACTGCATTGTGAATGATTTGATCACTAATCACATTGTACTAAGAATCACATGAAGAACCAAATGCTGCACCCATTGTTTGCAAACTGAAAAGGCCCATGGTCCTTATCAGGATTCTGTCCAACAAAACTGGCATCACTAGTTTGGAGGAGACAAGGGGCCAGAGTGGATGTCTAGCTTGTCTACCTCCACTCCACAAGCAATGATCATGGATTGTGCATTCATGGCATTAGTATCTGGATGAGGAGCCAGATGCTCAGCTGCACATTGGTCAAAGCTCTGGTCTACTGATTCACATTCTGCTAAAATGACTGCAGAATTAAACTTTCCTGCATGCATGAGTGTGTATTAATGGAGCTTCTCTAATCAATTGTTAATTTATACTTTTATCATACACAGCATAATAATATTACACTTACACATGAAGATGTTCACAATGTGACTTTTGCAGTTATTGATCCAAGGACATTTCAAATCCACAAAATAGATTTGCCCGATCATTTTCTAAGAAGACACACAATTAATTTATGGAGGTGTTTTTCAGTTAATTCTGGTATTACATTCACATCATTTGAAGTCAGAAACATATTTACTTGGAAGCTGCCTTTTGGATTTGACATTTAAGGTAGCAAATTGCCATAAAAAATAAAGACATCATTATTCAAAAGTATGAGGTTACAGTTTATCATTTAAAAATAATCTTTCCATCTTGTAGAAAAATTACCATATTTCTTCACTGATGATTTAAGGAAAGTAAAGATCTTTCTTTCCATTAAAAAGTGTGTTCATTCCTTAAAAAGCTTTCTGTCACTTTTCTTACTTCTGGGCATACAGTTTTATGAGGAAGGGAGTTTAGCATAAACTCTTTTTATACTCTTAAAAATGCATGTTTATTTCAATGTGCATTTTTCTGAAATAATTGTTTCTGGACCACACACACACACAGAAAGAGTATTTATCTGCTTACTGCATTAAACAGATTTTTGCTTCCAGAGTTCCATTTGGGAATTGATAGACGTATTAATTAACTCAGTTCAGTAAGATGCATGCCAATCAATTATTGGGTATTTGCCAAGAAGACTGTCTGCAGATAGATGGCAAATATGAGATCATTTACTTTTCTAGTTTTAACAGCATGCAAGATAACCACCACCAACATCCTCCATCCCCAGAGGCATGATCAACAATTTATGGGAAGCGAGATTAGAAGAGAGAAGCTAGCATCAATCTTTCCACCATTACTGTTCAGTAGAACTGTACTGCCTCCTGTACTTGGTCTCTTATATGTCTTCAGTGTTCTCTTTACTGTACATTACGTGGTAAGAACTAGTACATTATGAATGTTTAGATTAGAATGCTCCTGTTTCTTTATTTCTGCAGTGTTCAATCAATTAACGTTTGGTTAAATGACTAAAAGAACAATGTTGTAACACCCCAATTATCCTAAGTCCTGCTGGCAAGAGCCCAGCAGGCCAGGAGGAGTAGCAGAGGCACTGTTTAGCCTCTCCTTCCTCTGGAAATGCATTTTGCACTGGATGGGCTTCTGAGCTCAACTAATTCCTTTTTGAGCTGTGGAAGGAGGCTGAGGCCTCCAGATCCAGTGAATCCATAGGAACTCCCTTTCCCAACCCAATGGGATGCTCCCACCCCAGTCTCTTCCTCCTTATATCATTGATCTCATGAAATGGAGCCACCACTGAGGTTTTCAGCGTGCCTGGGAGGGGTTGTGGGTCAGTCTCAGAAAGCAATGATGACATTTCTCTCTTGAAGGCTGTACCTGGTTCAGGGATGAAGGAATCTGTCAATTCTGTGCTCTTTCCCCCTCTTAAGTTCATTTCATGCTGTTGCCCTAACTTTGCAATTAAAAAAGTAAGTATGTATAAAAGTTATTATGCCCTTTTCCTGATGTGTGCGTGTGCATGCAGTTTGGACTACTATGCACATTTTGAAAACAGCTTCTGCTAAGATAGCACACTTTGTATTTCATGTTGATGAATATATACATTTTGTGCACATCATTTCCCAATATTTACATTTTGCATTGGAGAACTGCACTTCAAAATTGGAGACATGTGCATACCAGAGGATGACAGCATTTTCAGTTGCATATTGCTTCAGGAAGTGCAAATTAGGTAGATTCCCATTAAAATGCAAGCTGAATTAATGTGTCCCCATCTGTATTCCTGGCACATGTTTTGTGGTTGGCTGCAAGCTGCCTGAAGATGCAAGCCTTTGTAAAGCATAAATGATCCGTAATATACTCTAAGGAGACTGGGGTTGTTAGAAAGAAGATATTAAGTGACAATGCTTCAGCAGCCAACCACCTCATTTTTATATGCATCCAATGACAAATTCTAGTAGTTCACCGGAATGGCCTCTTTGAGGTTAAATATGCCAAGTCTGAATATTGACGACACATCGCAATCCTTTCCAGGAATATGGCATCTACCTGTTCCTCCAGGTTGGGTTGTACCTCCATGAAACTGCTATATTTTCTGTGATCACAGCAGCTCTTCAGTTGAGCCACCATGGTTTTGCCATTCATGGAAGCAGCAGGTATCGGTCCCATACATGGTGGCCATAATATGCTGGCTATCAACCTGGGCTTCAGCACATTTCTTTTATTCCATGGCTATTTCTACCTGTCTTCTCTTTGCACATTAGAGCAGATAAGAAAGGAGTAGAAGGCTTGACCAGAATAATAAATTGTTTCTGCTTGGTTATGTCAGCAATGCTTCTACATAAGCCTTGTAGAAATGTGAAAATATGGAAAACATTATGGAACCAGAGAAAAGGAAGTTATAAAACATTTTAATATGAAGGCACAAATAAGAATGTAGGAGGTCACAAACCAGCAGAGTTGTTGGAGCATCCTGGGAGCTGTAAGCCTTTTTTTCCCCTGGCTAAACGTGTATTAGGTCATGTCCTAAACTGATTAAATCTCTCTCTCTCTCTCTCTCTCTCTCTCTCTCTCTCCACATGTGTGTGTGTGTGTGCACACGTGTGTGTGTCAGTGCATGCGTGTGTATGTGTGTGTGAGAGAGAAACAGCCTGCTGCTATTCTACTGGTTGAAACTGTTTCTAGCACTGAAAGGCTGGAAGCATCAATGTGCCTGACAAGATAAATTATGTGTCATTA